TATGTATGTTATATATATATATATATATATATATATATATATATATATAGGATAATATGTATAGATGTTTATAACTATTGAGGTGTGATCCTGATAATGTTATAGCCATTTAGGTATGTTGATTGACTTAGGATTAGAGGAGATAATGTTTTTGAAAGTTGAATACCCTATAGTGTGAATATTGGTGTGATATTCTATGAGTCTAGTTGTTGAAAAACCCTCGTTGAATAGACATTATCTATAGGAATGGATTGTTGAGTTTTCTCTAAACCCTTAGTTAATGTTAGAGTAGGATATAAAGTTAAGGGCTAAAATCCTTAATTGATTATGGGAGAGATGTGTGGTATTGTCAGGATAGTTAGCATACTAATTCCATAGGTAACTTGGTTTAAGCATATCAAGGTCTTTGTGCCCTCATAACCAAGCAATGTTATACCTAACAGTGGTACTAGACTTTTTTAGTTTAAATGAAGACCTTTGAGAAATCATGTTATAGAGATTGGTATCCTATTTGGTTGATGAGCTAACAAGTGTAAAAAGATCAGATGGTTTGATAAGGTCAAACCACTTAGACTGTTCACCTTTGTTGTATGAGATTTTCGCAGGTGAATACGTGATAATGCATTAATTGAGGTGTGTGCATATAATGTGGTGTGATTTGTTGGTGTTCATATGCTTGTTGATTTTATGGTTGAGTATCATGGGTGTGGTGAAATATAGTATATCATATGTTATAAGTTGCTTACTTTTGTAAGGTTGTTGAATGTCATGTTAAGATGTTTGGTGTGTGGCTAGGTTGTAAATCATGAGGTGACATGTGTATGGTTTTACATGTTGACGAGTAGTATAAATGTTTTCATTTCTATATTTGTGCTATGTTTTATCCTCTTTTACTCTAACTTATCCTTACATGTTTTTTAGTAGTTGGGTTGCGATGATCATATTTACATGAAAGCAAAATAATGATAGGTTTGAGGAGTCAAGCATGTGGATAGCCATGTTGTGGGATGACGATGTAGCTAGAGGCTACTTTTGTATAGGTAGGATTGCTTGACCGACAATTTAGACTTATATATTATAGTTTTAAATTATTATATATACTTATACACTTGTATAATATTTTAGTTGTTGATAAAAAAATTTATTGTATATATTATCACAGTGTTTTCCAAGAACTATAAACATATAAACCTCAGGTAATTATTTTATTTTCACTATTAATATTTGATTCAATTAAGTATGAGATCATGAGATATCATTACAAAGTTTCGTTGTACTTTTATTAAATTAGTCCAAATGTAAGTATGTACTACTTATACTCAAGACACTTATCATTTTAGTCATTACAATTTGGGAATACTGTGGTCACGGTAATAGATAAATTAAGTACTATGATAAAAGAGTTTTTATTTAAACAATCTTTCTCATATATAAAATGAATTCAATACTTTTGATTACAAGTTTTTAATACTTTATTTTATTTTTAGCCTCTTTAAGAAAAAACTCGTGGCTACATTTCCTTACCTCTTTTTCGGCCCAGTGGGTTGATCTGCAGCCTGTGGCACGGCCCAAATTCCTAACCATTTATTGTCCATTATACGTAGACCGGTACAAATCACTCCACATATCAAACTCGAATGGTTAGTTTTGTATATTCTTATTGTGAACTTAAAAAGATCAAATGAATTTTTAAACTAATATTATTGAGTTGCCTACAATCTTAATTTAATCTTTTAACTATTAAAGTTGGGCATGAGTTATTATTATAAACTCTCTAGTACCACGTCTGATGGATAAAAAAAATACAATCACAGATAAATTTAAACACAAGTTAAAAGTGAAAAAATGCAACTAAGGCTTATTCATAACTTGCTTGCAACCATTAAAGTATTCATGACTCACGAGCATTAAAATAAACAAAAATATAGCATATTTTCATGTCTTAAATAAGAAAGTAAATTTAAAATACAGGGAATAAAAAATGCATTTTAAACACGTGTTAAAAAATATTTATACAAAAAAATGATGTGACGAAGACAATTGCATTTTGCACAATTTTTTTTTATACTCCTATGATGACCCGTTTGTTTATTTATTTTTAAAAATGTCCTTTTTAATAAAGTAAACAACGTTTTTATACTCTTTTTTTTTATGTATTTTTCTAAATTGTTGTTTTAAAAAGTTTTTTTTTTTTAAGAAGCAACTCTTATCTAATTAGAAAACTATTATTTTAATTATCCCCTATTGAACTGTTAAAGATAATTTAAGTGCGTAATTTAATATTTGATTTTACGGCTCTAGAAAGTCAATCTTGTATAGATGTTCAAGAAGGTGAGGCGTAAAAAAATTTATCAATTAAGAATAATGTGATTTTTTAATTGGATAACAAAATAGTGATAGATAAAATAAGAACATCAACTATTAATAAATCTTAATTAAGAGTTTTAGTAGAGGATTGTAGAATTATTTTATCCCACAATCTAACTTATGATATTAATTTTAAGAGGCGTGCAAATAGTGTTGTACATAAACTTGTGAAGGTGACTCCATTTTGACCTACTTGAGCTATAAAAAATCCAAGGATACTTAACTATGTTGAAGAATGAAGATGCATTGTTAAAGTTGTAGTGAGTAGCTTCACTATTATATAAAGAAGAAAGCAAGGCCAACTAAATTAGTGTATTGAGTACTTAGTAAAGACGAAAGCCTTATATTATATTATAACATGTTCAGGCCTTAAAAAGAAGTAGCATATCTTCTCCATTATTTTTTTTAACGAAAAACAAAGAATATAGTTGAAAATATAATGTGATATGTACAAAAAGAAAATAGTCATTTAAAAAAAGTTAAAAAAAATGTAAATACAATTTAATGACATGACGACATGTGAATATAAAGTTACTAAAATGTCATTATTCTTTTTCAGAAAAGAAACCAAAAGTTAGCCATGGAAAAGAAAAGCACGGGCAGGAGAGCATCGAACGTGGTCAAGGTCTCGTTTTAAACTTTTGGGGCCATCGGTGTAAAGAAAATGGTGGGGTCATGATGCCAAAGCTTTGAGTTTTGATGAAACATTGAGAACCAGTGCTTTGCACAGTTTGTGCATGACAAGTATGATCTTTCCATTGAAATGCCAAGTTATCAAATCGACGCAGAAATTCCCTTTGGTTTCTTCATTAGTGGGACATGAATATCTTAATCTATTAGTGTTTGGCAGCTGGTATCACCATCACTTCGTGTTTAGAATAATCGCAATTAATTGGGGGTATATCCATAACTTAACGAAAACGATAAACACATGAGAATGTTATGTGTATCGTGCAAAGATATATTTTCTTGGCTTCATCGTCTTGAACAGATGAGATGAAGAATCAGACTCGGATAATAAGAGGTTTAGATGAAATGATTGCAAGAATTAAAGTTCGTCTAATAAATATACATATGTTAATTCTATATAATAATATATATAATTATGCGTATTTTAAAGATAATATAATAATAAATAGACTAAATTATTCTGTTAGTCCCTATAATTTTATCAAAATTTCATTCAAGTCTCCAAAGTTTAAAATATTTTGAGGAAATCTTAATAAATTTTTTTTCAATAATTCTCTGAAATATATAGCATTGAATTCAACCCGAAAATTCATGCGTATAAAAAGAAAATTTCAATTAAGGGAAAACAGTTTAAAAATTAATGTACTCAATATAATAATTCCTCATTTATCAGATAAAAATGTCAGAAAAACTTGAAAATAGAAACCCCATTATATATTTAATGTCACCACATTGGTTTCATTGTTTGTAACCCGGATCAATAACTTTTTCATCCGCACGACAACAAATCAAACCTCGTGCTTAAAAATCTTAATTATAAACTTAATTATCTACTAACATGCTTAAGAAGCTCAGTTTCTCCATAAGCAGGGAATGTCACATGATTCATATTATTTAAAAGACAATTATTCAACAATACAGCAACAGATAATTGAATGATTATATTACAGTAACAATCTCGCAACTATATGTATGAGTTTGAAGGCAGACAAACTGTACATAGCGAAGGTAAAAAAGAACGCTACTGAAGGCCACAACTGCACGAACTAACAAACTCAATCTCTACGTTTCTCAAACCTAAAAAAGCTTGAAGTGAAAGAGAAACTACTATATTACTGTATGCAAAACACATGTATCACCTATAGCTTACAATGACAGACGGTTTACCTGTCTTCATTCTCTACTAAGACAATTTTCACCAAAAGATAAAAACTAATAGCTATGAAGTTCAAGTTGATTAGTAGGCGTGAACGATATGAACTAAAGAGTATGGTACAACAATACATGTTAATGCTGAAAAAGACCTAATCAGATAAAATGAATGGCACTGCACAACTCGAGATGTTACCTGACATCTAATTATGGCCCCTAGAGAAGATTAATGATGATATAGTTAAATTCGATGACCAAAGGTAAGAAGAAAACGAAAACCGACCAGATTGAAAACTTACTCCTTAATGTCAAACCCGGAAATTTACTGATATAGCTAGCTAACTCCACCCTAAAGGAACCATATTTCCTGAGGACCTGTGGTAAATTTTAAGAATAGGAAATCAAGGCTGTTCCCATTAGATGGAAATATCATTTGGTATAACCAATCGAGATCATCAGCACCAGCATTTAATAAAATTTACAGTAGTTAATCGTTTGTTTTTAAGGAGCAAGAATCACTTGAAATACAAAATGGAGAAGAAATTGCTACTATTACAAAATACAGAGAGACATCACAACTGAGTAACACATCTCCCAGGTCCCAGCATCAAAACCCAACAAGAATTTGTCTCTTCAACTCAGTCTCCATAGCATCCCCGTAGTACTAATGTGCAGATCTCAAGAATAAGAGAACATCATTTGAAACAAAGGAAAACACTATGTCATAGTAAAAAATAAACGAAGCAACCTATAGATATGTGACAAAAAAAAGGTAAAGGGGTATCAGTAAGGAGTGTGATAATACCCTGTTGGAGGTCCCATTCCATTGACCGGGGGCATTCCATAAGGCATCGTGGGCATAGGACCTCCAGCATAGTATCCAGTGCCATTCAGTCTGGCCAAGCTAGATTGGCCTTGCATCCCATCCCTTGCATACTGATGCCACACCTGCTGCTCCTGCACAAGCAAATGCTGCTTCTTCTCCATATCTGCCATTTGCACATAGGATGGTGGTGGAATGCTCAATGATGCAGCAAACGGGTCCTGATTAACCGGCTGCACAGATCCATCTGGGGCAGGGAGAGCCAAAACAGGGGTTGTAGTCTTCCCTGGTCCCGGCAATGCCACACTGCTTGCACTCCCTCCACTCAGTTGGGTAGTGCTGACATGTTGCCTCACCATTCCTTGATCATACATACCAGTCAACAATAGCGGATCAAACCCACCACCTAAAGCTGCCTTCTGCTTTGACAAGTTGCTCGCAGTTTCTACCAATGCCAATTCCCAATCAGCTTTCCCAGGCTCCGCAGCCGGGGTTTGCCAGGCTGAAGTCACTTCTGGCTGTCCATTTGACGGGAAGGCTTCCCACGATCCATTTGTATTATTACCAGGTGCACCAGCAAAGAGTGCCAAAGCCAATCTATTCCCCTGGTCATCCGCACTGACTGCATCATCTCTCAGATTCACCAAGTCCTCTGTAACCTGTGGTTGCGGCTTAGGCTCAGGTTCAGGTGGAGGAGGCGGGGTATAATTCTCTGGCGGAGGCAGTGCCTTGATCTCATTCATATCTGGCACTGGCTCCTCCTCCACCTTCTCCACCGGTGGAGCCTCCTCTTGCCTCTCTGGACTCTTCGGCCTCTTGGCCCTATCCCTCACAAACTCCTCCAAAGTCTCGAGCAACTTACTGGTAATCCTCTGAACCTCAGGATACTCTGAGGACCTCGCCACACCGGTATCCTTACACCAATTGTAAAAAGCTACCAGCTCATCAATCTGCTTAGCAGCACTAGCATAAGCATCAAAGGCCTTCACACAATCAGGATACTCCATATCAAAGAACTTGTCAAGCAACACAGCCAAAACCTCACATATATCAGCATACAACTGAAAACTCTCCTTGACCACAGGATACAACGCAATCAAAACCATCCTACTATTCTTAGCCAACCCAGTTGGCCTACAAGCCAAAAACCGATCCAACAACCTCTGCAAATGACCCATCTTGCCGAAAATCCTCTCCGGCGTCATTTCCCTCAACGGAGTCACACTCACAACCCTCTTCTCCTCCCCTCTCCCCACCGATTCACTCATGTCCCCATACGACCTAGTCCTCCTCATCCCATTCCCATATCCATCTCTAAACTCTCCACCCCCATACTCGTACGGCGGCGACCGGAAATTGTCCCTTCCCCCAAACCTATCATCCCCTCCACCAAACCTGTCATCACCACCGCTAGCACCACCAACACTACCACCAGCAGCAGCACCAGCAGCAGCAGTTCCAGCAGCAGCACTTTTTCTATCAAAGAGCATCATCTCAAGCCTCTGATCGAGATACATAGCATAAGTCCTAACAAAAGCGGAGTGATCCCAGGAGCTGGAGTGAGCCTCGTCTCTGAAATCCGACATATTGAGGAGCCTGGTTCCCCTGCGGGTGGCGTAGAGGATCTCCTCCTGGAAGAGCGGGGGGACCTCGTT